CAGCGTTTTCCCTGTGTGCTGTGGGTTTTCCCACATGTAACCTGGCCTCCTGTCACTGCCTTCGTGGTCTCCCTGCCTCACTTGTGCCACTCACATTGTCCTCCTTGTTTCTGGAACTTGTTAAGGTGTGCCTGCCTCAGGGCATTTGTACTTACCCTTTCACCTGAAATGGTTTTCTCTAGGAGAGATGCTTTGTTCCCTCCCTTCTTTCAAGTCTCTGTTCAAATGTTCTCTAATCAGAAAGACATCCACTTGTTTATGTGTTCATTTGTTTTCTCATTTACTCATTTAATGTCCTTTCACCTTAGGGAGGAGTAAAATAGTTACCAAACACCTAATATATACCAGGCACTTTTCTAGATGTGCGGGATATATCCCTGAATAAAATGGATGAAAGATCCCTGTCCTCATGGAGTTTATCTTCTATATCCCCACTACTGTGGGAATACAGAAAAAGACAGTAAGCATAATACGTAAATTTTACTAAAAGATGATATGTGCTTTGGAAAAGAGAAAAAAATTGAGTAGGATAAAGAGGAGTCAGGAGTACAGATGGGGGAGTTGTGGAGGAAAGGAACAGTAGGTTGCATTATTAAATAAGGTGGTTAGGATAAACTTATGGAAGTGAGATGTGAGCAAACTTGAAGGAGGTGAGTGTCAAGTGGATATCTAGGAGAAAAATATTTCAGGCAGAGGGAACAGCTAAGCAAAGACTGGGAGGTAGGAACATGCCTGGCATTGTCAAGGGAGGGCAAGAAGGCCAGTGCAACCTGAGTGTAGTAAGTGAGGAGGGTAGTAGGAAAGGAAACCTCCAGAACAGGAGGTAAGTTGCTTTGGGCTTGGTGGGCTTCATAAGGACTTTGGCATTTTTTCTAAGTGAAATGGGGAGCCATTGGAGGGTTTTAAGCAGAGGAGAGGCATGATTTGGTTTAGTTTTTGACAGGATCACACTGGCTGCTGTGTGGAGATGACTGTAGGAAGTGAAGAAGAGAACCAGGGCAACTGGTTAGGAGGATATTGTAACGATTCAGATAAGAGATGGTGGCAGTGGAGGTGGTAAAATGTGGGTAATACTGGATGTCTTTTTTTTTTTTTGAGATGGAGTAGCATAATAATGCCAGTTTCTCCATAGCCCGCACCAATACAGTGTATCGCTATGTTTAAGACTTATTTTTGATTTGTAGGAATTTTTAGTTTTTATTTAGTGAAATTCATCAATGTCTTGCTTGCTTGTTTACTTGCTTTCTTGCTTTCTGTCTTTCTTGCTTTCTTGATAGAGTCTTGCTTTGTTACTCAGGCTGGAGTACAGTGGTACAGTCATAGCTCACTGCAACTTCAACCTCCTGGGCTCAAGTGATCCTCCCACCTCAGCCTCCTGAGTAGCCGGAACTACAGGTGTGCGCCACCACACTCGGCTAATTTTTATATTTTTTTGTAGAGATAGGGACTTGCTATGTTGCTGAGTCTTGTCTCTGGCCTCAAGTGATCCTTCCACCTTGCCTTCCTAAAGTGTTGGGATTATAGGTATGAGCCACTGTGCCCAGCCTGTCAATTTTTTATTGTAATATTTGGAAGGGCTTTTTGACTTTATTTTATTTTATTTATTTATTTATTTTTTGAGACGGAGTTTCGCTCTTGTTACCCAGGCTGGAGTGCAATGGCGCGATCTCGGCTCACCACAACCTCTGCCTCCTGGGTTTAGGCAATTCTCCTGCCTCAGCCTCCTGAGTAGCTGGGATTACAGGCACACGCCACCATGCCCAGCTAATGTTTTGTAGTTTTAGTAGAGACGGGGTTTCACCATGTTGACCAGGATGGTCTTGATCTCTTGATCTCGTGATCCACCCGCCTCGGCCTCCCAAAGTGCTGGGATTACAGGCTTGAGCCACCGCGCCCGGCCTTGACTTTAATAAATGCCCGTGTTTTCTTCTAGTGTTTTTATGTTTTTACTTTTTAAAAATGTTCAAATGTTTGATTTATCCAGAATTTGCTTTGGTGTGTTTTCTTGACTTTAAACATCATTAAAAAAAAAAAACCTAGAGGCTGGGTGCAGTGGCTAACGCCTGTAATCCTAGCACTTTGGGAGGCGGAGGTGGGTAGGTCACCTCAGGTCAGGAGTTCAAGACCAGCCTGGCCATCATGGTGAAACCCCATCTTTTCTTTTAAAAATTAGAAAAACAAAAAACTAGAGATTTGCTTTCGTATTCTGGATTCTGGATTTCAAAGATCTAATTGTAGCGTAGATGTGGTGGCTCATACCTATAATCCCAGCCCTTTGGGAGGCTGAGGCAGGGACATGCCTTGAGGCCAGAAGTTTGAGACCAGCCTGGGCAACATAGTGAGACTCTGTCTCTTCAAAAAATAAGAAAAATTAGCTGGGCATGGTGGCATTTGTCTTTAGTCCTAGCTACTCAGGGGGCTGAGGTGGGAGGATAGCTTGAATTTAGGAGTTCAAGGCTGCAGTGAGCTATGATTGTACTCCAGCCCAGGCTATAGACCCTCTATCTTTAAAAAAAAAGGAAGGCCAGGCCCAGTAGCTCACGCCTGTAATCCCAGCACTTTGGGAAATCAAGCAGGGCAGATCACTTGAGGCCAGGACTAGCCTGACCACCATGGTGAAACCCCATCTCTACTAAAAATACAAGAATTTGCTGGTCATGATGGTGCATTCCTGTAATCTCAGCTACTTTGGAGGCTGAGACATGAGAATCACTTGAACCCGGGAGGCAGAGGTTGCAGTGAGCTGAGATTGCACCACTGCACTCCATCCTGGGCGACGGAGAGAGATTCTGTCTCAAAAAAAAAAAAAAAAAAAAAATCGGGCCGGGTGCGGTGGCTCAAGCCTGTAATCCCAGTACTTTGGGAGGCTGAGGCAGGTGGATCACGAGGTCAAGAGATCGAGACCATCCTGGTCAACACAGTGAAACCCCGTCTCTACTAAAAATACAAAAAATTAGCTGGGCATGGTGGCGTGTGCCTGTAATCCCAGCTACTCAGGAGGCTGAGGCAGGAGAATTGCCTGAACCCAGGAGGCAGAGGTTGCAGTGAGCTGAGATTGCACCACTGCACTCCATCCTGGGCGACGGAGAGAGATTCTGTCTCAAAAAAAAAAAGAAAAATCAAATTGTGATGGCAACGTAGCTATGTATACATAGCCATATATTTGAGGTTCATTGTTAACAATAGTGTAAGTCCTTATTTAAAATAGTCTTGCCAATTTCAAATTTTGTAGACAACTTGTTAAATCTAATCAGGCTTTTTTTTTTTTTTAAAACTTTGTGTTTTGGTTGCTATACTAAAAGTAGAAATGTCAGCTCTGTTACTGTTTGCTTGTATTCATAGTCTTCAATCTGTGGTTTCTTTGCAAGAGTCTTGAGCCACTTGCCTATTCAATGAGGATTTAGTTTCATTAAAACATGTACTATAATCTGTAAATCCTTTTAACTGTGCTCCTGTAAAGCATAGTGCTTTGCAATACCATTCTTAAGAGCGTCTCATAGCATAGGTTATATAGGGACTAGTGAGCGTACTACCAGTGCCGATACTAAGTATTAACGAAGCTCAATTTCTGTTATTTGTTAGATAGAAAAAGAATATAAGTGGAAGTCTTAATAATAGTCTCTTTCCATACCTCGGTGATCATCTTGCATATCTTCTGTGGTACACATGTCCTGACTGACTTTGAAGAAGACCATCAATCAAGAAAATGGTCAACTCTACGTTTTTTTTTTTTTTTTTTTTTTTTTTGAGACAGAGTCTTGCTCTGTTGCCCAGGCTGAAGTGCAATGGCATGATCTCGGCTCACTGCAACCTCCACCTCCCAAGTTCAAGCAGTTCTGCCTCAGCCTCCTGAATAGCTGGGATTACAGGGGCATACCACCACGCCCAGCTAATTTTTGTATTTTTACTAAAAATACAAAAATGTGTTTCACCATGTTGGCCGGTCTGGTCTTGCATTCCTGACCTCAAATGATCCACCCACCTCAGCCTCCCAAAGTGTTGGGATTACAGGCGTGAGCCACCATGCCTGGCCAACTCTACACATTCTTTAGGCAGTCCCTTGATAAGTATAATACCTCTCAGCCAGGTTATTGAGTGTCAGTTAATTAGGGATTATTCTCCCTGGAAATTACCTGAAGTTATGGGTATTCCATGATGCTGAATAAGAACAAGAGGGGCCATGAGTATAACTAGGACTAGGATTGGCATTCTTCTGTAAACATTGAGCCTTCTTTTTTTTTTTTTTTTTTTTGAGTCGGAGTTTCGCTCTTGTTACCCAGGCTGGAGTGCAATGGCGCAATCTCAGCTCACCACAACCTCCGCCTCCTGGGTTCAGGCAATTCTCCTGCCTCAGCCTCCTGAGTAGCTGGGATTACAGGCACACGCCACCATGCCCAGCCAATTTTTTGTATTTTTAGTAGAGACGGGGTTTCACTGTGTTGACCAGGATGGTCTCGATCTCTTGACCTCGTGATCCACCCGCCTCGGCCTCCCAAAGTGCTGGGATTACAGGCGTGAGCCACCGCGTCCGGCAATATTGAGCCTTCTAACCATATTTCTTGGTTATGAATATTTTGGGACTGCAGTTAGGATACTATGCCATAAAAGATAAATAGAGTCATTTTATCCAGCTAAAATTTTGAATATTTGCCTTGACCATAAAAAGTCTCAATAAAGATGTATGATGTGTAAAACAAAATGAGGTATTATGTGGATTTACTAATTATAGACTTTGATTTATCTACTTTATAGTCATGATTATACAAGTCTTTGATTTACGATGTTAAAAATGATATAAATCACATGTGAGAAGAATGCTTGGCAGGAGGGTATGTCTTTAGCTCTTCCAAGTACTATCCAGGCATTAGGGGCAAGTTAAACAGAAGGAGTAGATAGATGGGGGCATATCTCTGTCTTATCCTGTTGGAAAGTGCTAGCTGATCTCTTTAGACATCATTCCTACCAACCCTGACTTTTTATTTTATTTTATTTTATTTCAGTCTCCCTAGAGACTTTCAAAAATTGTCAGTGCCGACTATATTGCAAGTCGTCACTGGGGGCGGGGGGTAATTGGGAAAAGTTTTCAATTAGCAATAATCGTGCCTTGGATAAACATCATTGGCTACGATACTGCCGCTGTGCAAAGCTTAACCCTGACTCTTGAGTACATGAGACATGTTTCTTTTTTTTCTTTTTTTTTTTTGAGATGGAGTTTCGGTCTTGTTGCTCAGGTTGGAGTGCAATGGTGTGATCCTGGCTCACCATGACCTCCACCTCTGATGTTCAAGCCATTCTCCTGCCTCAGCCTCCTGAGTAGCTGGGATTACAGGTGCCACCACGCCTGGCTAATTTTGTATTTTTAGTAGAGATGGCTTTCTCCATGTTGGTCAGGCTGGTCTCGAACTCCTGACCTCAAGTGATCTACCCGACTCAGCCTCTCAAAGTGCTGGGATTACAGGCATGAGCCACCTGTGCCCGGCTCATGAGACACATTTCTGAGTGTATGAATAATCAGGCATCTGTGCTGCAGCTTAATTTACTCCTTTCTAGAGTACGAAAGGCAAGGAAATGTTGGTTAAAACTACAGTCATCTTGGGTGGGTGATACAGAAGAGACTGACAAATTATGGCCTATGGGCCAAATCTGGCCCATCACTTGTTTGTTTACATAAAGTTGTAACACAACCACACCTGTTTGTTTGTGTATTGTCATGGTTGCTTTCCCACAGTGATGGAGTTGAATAGTTGTGACAGAAATTATATGACCTGCAAAACCAAAAATACTTAACTATTTGTCCCTGTACAGAAAAAGCTTGTTGACCCCACTATAGTTAGTGACCTATAGAAGAATGATTCCCCCCAACTCCTAAAGCCTGCCTGCTCCTTTCCTTGAACATTGACCTAAAAAGCTCAGGTCTGTAGTTTATTAAGTAAGAAACTGGCATTTAGTTAATTATTTTTATATTGAAAAACAAAGTATATATGGTAGAAAATTAGGATGGCTGGGCTCAGTGGCTCACGCCTGTAATCCCAGCACTTTGGGAGGCTAAGGTGGGCAGATCACCTGAGGTCAAGAGTTCAAGACCAGCCTGGCCAACGTGGTGAAACCCTGTCTCTTCTAAAATACAAAAATTAGCCAAACATGGTGGCACATGCCTGTAATCCCAGCTACTTGGGTGGCCGAGGCATGAGAATAACTTGAACCCGGAAGGTAGAGGTTGCAGTGAGCCGAGATTGTGCCACTGCACTCCAGCCTTGCTGATGGAGCAAGACTCTATCTCAGAAAAAAAAAGGAAAAAGAAAATTAAAGCAATACTAAAGTATATAGTAAAAAAAATTTAAAAAAAAAAAGTCTCTTCCCACTCAGCCCTTTCTTTTCTTTCTTTGAGGCAACTATGTATGTATTTAATTATTTATTTTTTTGAGACAGAGTCTTGCTCTGTCACCCAGGCTGGAATGCAGCGGTACGATCTTGGCTCACTGCAGCTTCCGCCTCCCGGGTTCAAAGCAATTCTTCTGCCTCAGACTCCTGAGTAGCTGGGACTATAGGTGTGCACTATCACACCCAGATAATTTTTGTATTTTTAGTAGAGACAGGGTTTCACCATGTTGCTCAGGCTGGTCTCTAACTCCTGACCTCAAGTGATCTACCTGCCTCGGCCTCCCAAAGTGCTGGAATTACAGGTGTGAGCCACTGTACCTGGCCCAGAGGCAGCTATTTAGAAATTCTTTCTATATATTTGCAGTATATATTCTTTGGTATTATGTAATCCACATAGCTAATGGATTTTGACCACCTCATCCTTTTAAAATGGAATGCTTTACTTTTTTTTTTTTTTTTTAAGAACCAGTCTCTCTCTGTCACCCAGGCTAGTTGGATTGGAGTGCAGTGGTGTGATTTTGGCTCACTGCAACCTCCACCTCCTGGGTTCAAGTGATTCTCCTGCTTCAGCCTCCCAAGTACCTGGGATTACAGGAATCCGCCACTATGCCTGGCTAATTTTTGTATTTTTAGTAGGGATGGGGGTTTCACCATGTTGGCCAGGCTGGTCTCGAACTTTTGGCCTCAAGTGATCCTTCTGCCTTGGCCTCCCAAATTGCTGGAGTTACAGGTGTGAGCCATAGCACCTGGCCTAATGCTTTACTTTTGAAGATTGTTTCATACTGATATATATCACCATGTCCAGGTTTAATCTTTTTAATGGCTGCATAGTATTTTACTGTGAAACTTCCTTTATTCTGTTCGTATATATAATTTTTTTTGTTTATTTTTATTTTCTTTGTATATATAATTTTTTAAAATTAATTTTTTTTTTTTTTTTTTTTTTTTGAGACGGAGTTTCGCTCTTGTTACCCAGGCTGGAGTGCAATGGCGCGATCTCGGCTCACCGCAACCTCCGCCTCCTGGGTTCAGGCAATTCTCCTGCCTCAGCCTCCTGAGTAGCTGGGATTACAGGCACACACCACCATGCCCAGCTTATTTTTTGTATTTTTAGTTGAGACGGGGTTTCACCATGTTGACCAGGATGGTCTCGATCTCTTGACCTCGTGATCCACCCGCCTCGGCCTCCCAAAGTGCAGGGATTACAGGCTTGAGCCACCGCGCCCGGCTAAAATTAATTTTTAACTCCACAGTAGTACATAAATATATTCTGTATAAAGAATTAAAACATTACTGTTGGACTGGATGCTGTGGCTCACGCTGAGGTGGGTGGATCACGAGGTCAGGAATTCAAGACCAGCCTGGCCAATATGGTGAAACCCAGTCTCTACTGAAAATACAAAAATTAGCCAGGAATGGTGGTGCACACCTACAGTCCCAGCTACTTGGGAGGCTGAGGCAGAAGAATCACTTGAACCCTGGAGACAGAGGTCGCAGTGAGCCAAGATCGCGCCATTGCATTCCAGCCTGGGCAAAAGAGCAAGACTCCATCTCAGAAAACAAACAAAAAACCCCCAAACACATTACTGTTGAATTTGGTTTGCAAATGTTGATTTAAAAAAAAAAAAAAATGGGCCGGGCGCAGTGGCTCACGCCTGTAATCCCAGCACTTTGGGAGGCCGAGGTGGGTGGATCACAAGGTCAAGAGATCGAAACCATCCTGGTCAACATGGTGAAACCCCGTCTCTACTAAAAATACAAAAAATCAGCTGGGCATGGTATGTGCCTGTAATCCCAGCTACTCAGGAGGCTGAGGCAGGAGAATTGCCTGAACCCAGGAGGCGGAGGCTGCGGTGAGCCGAGATCGCGCCATTGCACTCCAGCCTGGGTAACGAGAGCGAAACTCCGTCTCAAAAAAAAAAAAAAATGGAATGATAAAATTTTCAGTGAGTTTTGAACCCCCAAAAACTGATGTAGAAAGTGGGGCAGATGCCTTCTGCAGGCCAGGTCTGAGTCTCTGTAGGTGTCCAGAAATGGAGTTCTGTGTTGGTTTGAGTTGTGCTGAATGAGATCTCTTCTGCCTGGAGCATCTGCAGCAGTGTTTTTGTTATTTAATTCTTTCTGCTTTCTTCTCTACTTCCTTGCTTCCCGCCTCCAAATGGATAGAGCTTTCTGAAGTGTGTGTGTTGCATATCTTTGTGGCTGTTGCACATGGTTGCTCAGAAAAAAATAAAATCTTTGCTGGCATGCACATTCTCATCCTGTTGTCACAAAAGTAATACTTAACATGCATGAGCTTTTGTTATTTACCAGGCTCTGCTCTAAATGAGGTGGTTGCTATTGTTGTCTTCCTCTTACAGATGAAGAAATGAAGGACAGAGACCTTAAATAACTTATTCAGGGTCTTATAGCTAGTGAGTAGCAGAGCTGGGATTTGAACCCTAGCAGTCAAGCTCAGAGCCCATTCTCATAACCACTATGAAATATTCTTTCTCAGCTCTCTAGTTGCTATTTACCTGAAAATCACAGATGCCTAAAAGAGGAAGGATCCCCAGCCCAAAATTAATTAATCCCAATTAATTTGGAAGGAGTAAGGATCCCTCCCAATTAAAGGAAGAAGGATCCCCATCCCAAAATTAATAGGCAAATTTAATTGTGCCTGTTAATTTGGGAATCTCCCCAGACATCCCATCTTTTCTGATTTACTAAGGCTACAAGTTAGTTCTCCTAATTAATTTAGATATTATTATGCATCGGTTTTCCTAGGCTTTTTTGTTGTCACCCATACTTACTGGTCCTTGTTTCCTTTGTCAGCAGCGTTTGTGCATTGTAGTAATCAATTATTTTCAAGATCCGTTCCGGCTCTGAGTAGCTATAAGTTCTTTGACTTCTGTTTCTTCACATTCAATTTTTCTTGTTTCAGTCTAGCATTCTCTTCTTTTGAAATTTTGAATCTTGATTCTGCACTCATGTAATAACAGCTGTCCCTGCCAGCATTGCACCATTTGCACATTTCTTAAATATCCCTAAACTAAGTTGTTGATTAAAAAACTGAATAGAACAGGACCACTCCCTAAGTGTTCTGGGTATTGGTTTTTAGTTTTATTCTGTTTCAGCTACACTTAGCCAAGATTTTGTAGTCTTATCCACAAAGATAAAATAAGTAACTGTTAATACCTTACTGAAATGGAACTATATTATATTCATGGTGGTCCTAATTTGTTGACTTACCTCTAACCTTTGCTATATTTTTTACCTATCTGGACCTTAATCCTCTATGCTGTTTATTTGTCTTCATTTGTTGTTACTGCAAGTTTACATTCATATGGCAGCCATGGAATTAATACTATTGCCAGTATATTGTTTTATCAATAAAAAGTGAATGTACCAACATACAAACTTCAGTGTTTTCTACTTTTATTTATTCGAATGCATTAGTGGATCCTAGATTAATCCTTTGAGGGAGAGAGCTTACCTTAAAATAATACAAAATTGTTAGATCCTAACAGTAGATGTTAGATCCAAGTTCTGATATTTTTGAAAAATTAAATATCTTTACAGTGGAATGAATGTGTTAGAAAATGTCTAATTCTTGTTCAGTGGATATTTGGTCTTCCTAATTAATATTATTTACTAATACTGTATAGTCTTTGTTTCTTCTCCTCTGAATTTCATTTTTTAGTTTTTCATGTATTCGCAAGTTGAAAATTGATTCAAATTAGGACTTTTATGCATTATTGTGGAATTTAATTTCACACATTATAGAT